TTTTCCTTGTGTGGAAAAAGAAGGTGACAGTCAAGAACTCATCTAAGATTCAGTGAAGTAATGTAATCCAAATAACATAGTATAAAGCTTTCATCAACATACTGTGCATTAAATTTAGCTTACAGCCTGATACTTTGGCTTTTATCCATTTAAAAACTCTTCAGAGACCAGTGTACACCAAGTATGCACATTTATATACCAAGCCTTATTACAAGATACCCATTTGCCATCCCAAACCACCAAACCCATCGTGTCTCTTAACATAAAAAAAAAAAAAAAACAGGAGCAAAAGAGTAGTCTGTTGCATGACTATTAATCCAAAAGCAAAATTCACACATAAAGACAACAGGTATGATTTTACTATTCACCACAGAATGTTACTTCTATGTTTCCAGCCATGACTATTCATCTACACGTTTCAACAATCAACTGATAAAACAAGTTCTTGTTCTAATAAGTTGAGTGTTCCAGAAACACTGAAAGTCAAGCTAAACTAATCTTCTCTCCTTCAGCTTAAGTTGCAACTTATAAGTTATACTTATAAGTATATAACTTATACTCTTTATAAAGAGTATGTTGACACCACTTAATAGTTTTACAGGGTGATCATTAGCTGGCACACTGCTGGGAGCCTCTGTGGCTTCACCTAGCTGCTCACTCACCTTCTTTCCTGTGAGTCCATCTGTCAGTGGCAGCACTCCATTACCACCAAATCATTCCTCTTTCAAAAGGAACAATACAATCTCCACAAACTGTAAAACAAACAAACCAGCTATTTAACTGCAAATACAGTTAACCTTAAAAAACAAAAACACAACCCCACAAAACAAGAAGAAAAGCACTAGATCCCATGTGTAAAACCCACATGTAAAATCGCGATGCACTTCCACAACACAAGAATGGTTCAGTTCACTCACAGAGTTGGCAGACAGAAGCTAAACAGCCAGACTTGTCCTACCTACTCATCTCACAATAGGTCTATTGTAAGAACAGACTGAACAAAACCTAGTTCAGAGGCAGAAATTAACATCTCTAATTTTCAGGACACCCTCAAGAAGCAAAGCAGAATAAATTATCTAATTTCAGCTTAAGAACTCTATGCTCAAGTTAAATTTATAAATGGCAAATACATTTGTATGAGCAAATGGTTAAGAACTTAATTCATAGCCTTCATCCTGAATCAGATCACATACTGTATATAATATAGTACAGTTCTATTAAAGCCTATGCAGAAATCCACTTGAAGAATTCAAAACATTTCTTCAGAGTATCAATAAAGATAATACCACAGAAACCAGCATGAAGAAAACAAGCAGCTACTCTATTTATGCTTTTACTCTTTCAGATTTTGAATTTTGAAAGTTCACCCTCACACCTTTCCATCTTCATGAAGAATTTATCATCTTGTAAGAAAAGTGACACTACAGATGAATTACTAGATGAAGTATTAAAACTTTTAATAATATTGACATATATATGTGATGATATTTATTGAAATGAAGTAAGTTTCAGACAAATTCTTTAGACCATGTTGCTGTATTATAGTTGCTGTCTGATATCTACTGTAACAAAAATAGAAAACAAATGATTTAACACAATGGCCTTTTACAGCAACACATCTCCAAGAAAATATCCAGAATGCCTGAACCCCTTACAGAGAGGAAACACATGTAAAGTACATTCTGTCTTGATTGCAAGAGACACTATATGCAAAGCTGTAATCTGTATACAGACAAGTGTCGGTTCACACTTAGAGATAATAATCATCAGGTCGATAAACGACTGAAATAATTCACACAAATTACAACACTTTCACTCAACTACTCTGAATAAAAAAGTACCAAACAGACCTTTACAGACAAACGGCCACATCTCAAAGCAAAAGTTTTCAGTTTCCAAATACCGAAAGAGTGATTTGGGCTTCAGAATTGGCAAAGAATATATTTCAAAATAAAAGATTCCATGGAAATAATTATAATAAATCAAACTAATACAATAAAATAATATTATGCTAAATCATAGTGTTTTGTTGTTGTTTGTTTGTTTGTTTTTTTTAAGAGCAAAGTGCATAAGTCAGGCACTTTCTAGGAACAGAGTCCCATTTATCACCAGAAAGACACCACTTTCCAGGTATTTCTTCCCCTTCTTCCTCAAAGAAAAGGAAACAATTTTTAGAGCATTAACAGAGGAAGTCTTAGAAAGATAAACTGTTACGCAACACTTGAGTAAGAGAGGTGTCGATGAAGCACCAAAAGAGACAGAAACATTTCTAGAACTTGTGGTTTTGTGATGTGTTCCTGCGTGCAGTAGGTCCATGTGATTTATATATACAGAGTATATATATTTAAAGCCAATTCAAAAACACAGAGCTCCACAATTCATTTTATTGAAGATGCTGGCAATTCTCTGGGAGCAACTGTAGCTTCATATATAAGTACCCATCAATAAATCTGATGAAGAGATGGGAGCTTTGATAAGGTTGGAGTATCAACATATCTGAGTATGAAATAAGTCTTAAAATCCTTGGCTTCAATAATTGAGTGATTTTTTTAAGGGCTTAAAGATGTTCTTTCCTTCTTGTGAGTGTGCACTGCACAAAACTTATTATATTACTTCTCAAAACTTCCAATTACAACAAAACAGAATTAAGACAGGCAACTGATTAGCTGTTTTGCAAGACCTTACTTCAAGGCCCCATTTGTGAAATGATTACAAGATTTGCAATGCAGGTGGACTGGAAGGGAAGAAAGCAGTATGATAGTGGCGATATGTTTTGTTTTCTTCATAAACAGCTCACAGTTAAGGTTGCATTACTAAGCATTTATGCATAACAGGGAAAACAATAGTTAAACGGTGTTATTTCCATTAACGATGCATTTCTAAGACATTTAAAAGTCATTATCAAGTTCAGCCTACGTTTTCATTCACTCCTAGTACATTAGAATATTATTGCCATTTCTCAGCTAACACAAAATAAGTCATTTCGTCACAGCTACAAACTAAGTCACTTTCTCCAAACTGAATCACTCAATTTTCTTAGCTGACTTTCACCTAATAACACCTTTATATAAACTATATTGCAGCTTTACAAATACATTATTTCTTTTCCACTAAAATTATCTAAGCTTTTAAGTAACACCGTTTAACGTTCGCATAAAAACAACCAGCTACTATACATTATTCTCTTGGTAGGAAAGATTGGTATGATACCTGCACTGCTCTGCCTACCCACTTACTTTCCACATTTTAATTTCAACACCACAAGAACGAAACTGCAAAGAGTTCCAAATAGAGCCAAATTATGAAACAGATTTGTGTTACAAACAGATGGTCACTACCGTGACGCTGATGTCATACTTTCCACTCGCAGAGCAGATTGCTAATTCAAATTCTCCAGAAATCAAACACTATCACATTATAACTACTGCTATGGCAGGGAACGGCCTGGCGTAAACATTACTCTGATTACTATGGGACCGTGTCCTTCACTGGACATTGACTGCTCAGGAGCAAGCACCATAGATATAAACGGAATCTCATATTCAAGGCTGAACAGAAACAACACGTACGCCCCTTGCTTTCCAAAATATAGTCATCACGTGCCCAATTACCCACTACAATTAATAGATAACTACAAATACTTTTACAACTTCCTGACACGTTTACTTCCTAAAAAACGTGTGTCCAAATATCTAAGTTCATTGCACCATACACAGCAGTAACTTACACTGACAGGACGGCCAAGTTTATTGTACAAAATTATCTGCACAGCTTCTGAACGCTGCTACCCCCAAGCTTCCTAGTTCACAGCTAAGTTGTCAATATTCATCTTTCCTGTATGTCTGCAGCCATTTCCGAGTGCTAACTGTGGTTTCTACATGACACGTTACCAACTCAAGAAGCCCTTCAGTTTTGGTCACCACCAACTAGGTACAATCGCTATTTTTAACACTGTGCGATTAAAATCTGCTCAGAGCAAAGCCAACCCAACTTACTGTTACAGGACAGCAATCGCCCCTTCAGATGAGGGCTCAGAGCTTTTTTAACGCCAGTTCCAGTGCGCGAGTGATGGCCTTAAAACGTTATCAGTAAAAAGTGAGGAAAAAAGAGCAACACAGAAAGCTCTTCGCACCAGCTTAAAATACCTCTGTTGGAAGACACCTGCTCCACCACCTCACTGATAAGACCCACCAAGCAGGCGGGAGGCTCACAGGTTATGAAGCAGCCCCCTTCCCTGCTCTCCCCCCTGCAGCTGCACCTTCCTCGCCCCGCACCTGCCCGGCCGCCTCCCCAGGGCGCTGCGGGGCCGGCCCTTGCTGTTTTCACCCAGTCACCGCGCAGGAACGGCCGCGGCCGCCTCCTCCCCGCGCCGCGCGGGGCCCTGCCAGCAGCCCGCCCGCCCCCCACACCTGTTCCCGCCGCCGGGCCGGGCCGCCCCGCGCTGAGGGACGAAGCCGCGGGCGGGTAACGGCGGCGCGGAGCCACTGCAGGGCGAGCAGCGCGCGACGCTTTGCTCCTTCCCGCCCCGGCGGGCGCCACGCGCAGCCGCCGCCACCTCTCCCGCCTCACTCACCCGGCACCGCGCTCGCTCCGCCCCGCCCCGCCGCCCGGCAGCTGACGGGCGCGGGGCGGGGCCTGAGGAGGGGCGGGGCTGGGGCGGGCCGCGCTGACGGGTCCCCGGCGGGGACAGAAGTGGCCGCGGGGCGGCCCCGGGAGCTGCGAGGCGCGGCCCCTCAGCGCGAAGCGTTGGGGCTTGCTGCTGAGGAGACAGCACCGAGCCTGGCAGCTTCGGGTTGTGGAGCTGCTGGAAGAGAGTAACAAATAAAAAAAATAAAAACAAATAGCCAGAGATAACTGAGATACGTCAGTGATGGGGAGGGAGATGGAAATGAAGTGCTCCAAGCCAGGGCAGTCAAGGAGAAAGGAAAGAACCACATCAATAAACAGTCCGCTAGAGAGAGGGTTTGCCACTCTTTTCCTGTGCCAGCTGATGGATATAACCACAGCAACCCTTCCTGTGCCCTCACTGCAGCCGCAGCATTTCCACACTCTCCAGAGTCGAATATGCAGGATGTGGAGGGCCGGGGGTTGTGCTGGTCCCTTTCCAAGAGGAGGATGTTGTGGACAGGTTCAAATGGGTGAGTGTGCGACATCCCCAAAGAAAGACAGAAAGTATTTCATCCTATCATTATTCCAACCATGAATAGGCAATTGATTGCTCAATGACATGTCAGTAGCTTCTTGTTCTGCGCAGCAATCTGAAATACGTGCCACTTTCTTCATGAAGCAGAGACAAGGCATTACGTTTGGAGCTGCCACATCCTATGTGCATCTGGAGGAGCTGTGTGAAGGATCCAGTGCAACTGTTTGCAAGGGGATCAGCAGGTGAGCAAGGGCCACCAGTGGCACTATTCCATTCCCCCTGCTTACCAGTTATGGGAATCATAAGAATGAGCTCGAAGCTGAGCAATTCAGAGTACTTGTAGGAAAATACAGGCAAATCAAATGTCTGGCTTTGCCTTTCACCACGATATTTGCAAAGCCCCATCCAACTTTTTTCAGGGAATTCCTCCACTTGAGCAGTGGAGGCTCCACCAGGGCACTTTGCTGCACGGCCATGTGCCAGGGGACTGTTTGCCTGCACCTGAGACAGAGCGAAGGTTTTCCTTGGAATGAGGGATTCCTGCATGATGGAAAAAATGGGGCAAGGGCAAGTTGCCATTACATGGGAGCAGAGAAGCTGAGACAGGGCAGAGTGGGAACACTGACCAAAGCCACACTCCAGCAATAGCTGGTCAGCAGAATGGTGCTGCTCCAGCCATGTGGGCTGGTCCCATTCTGCTGCTGAAGAAGACAAAAGGAGGGGGTTGCAATGCTTTTCTAAGCTTGGCCTCGGTGGGAAGTGAGCCCTAAAAATTTTGCTCAGGTGAATGTGGAGCACCCTGGGAGGTCATTAATACTGTCATCATGCCAAACACTGAGGTGCTTTGTGTGACCTTTCACTCTGACCTGACAGGATCAATGGCCAGTTGGTGGCACTCAAAGTTATCAGGCTGCAAGCAGAGGAGGGAGTGCCCTTTACGGCCATTCGGGAAGGTAAGAAATCAAGATCCTTGTCAAACACACCAGGGGCGAGCAAGACCCTTTATGGCTGTGTAGGACAGAGAAGCCTCCCCTCCTTGTCCATATTTCAGGCAATAAAAATAAATATAGAAATGACACCAATGCTGACATTTGTCAAATGTGCTCTCCAGAGTTGTCCCTGGGTGCTGCAGCACTGACGGTGCTGGGGACAGGCTACACCTTTATTAATACACTGCCCTGAGCAGGGCTGGACTCACCCGCCTTCTGTTCTGTCACACACTTCGCCTCCCTGGCATTAACCTTGCCACGTGCTGTGCTCACCCTGTGTGCTTGTATAGATGTAACTGCACTCAAGTCACACTTGTTCACTGCAGTGAGTTCCTGAACAGTTCCAGTGCTCAAAGGCTGGTGAATCTGGATGCAAGAAATCCCTGGAGGGACTGGAGGAAGTCATTATCATGCAATGCATAACCCCCACCCCAGACTACATGATTGAAAAAAGAGGAATGGGCATTGTCCCATTAGCCACAGGGGCAGCAGACGGTTTTTCCTATGCTTGCCCTGGCCCCTACCTCAGCCCTTCTGCCAGAGTTGCCTACTGACAGAAATGTTCATTGCGTATCAACAAGGAGTCCATAGGGCACTCAGCCGAGTAAATAATTTCTAAAAATCCCTTTTTGCTGTGTCAGTGTTCAATATTGAAACAGGCTCAGATTCATTCTGCTCAGCTCTGAACACCTAACTGCAACACATGCAAAGTGTTAGTGTGGAGAGGCAGGGATGCGCAGACTGTGGGCAGAGATGTGAATTGTCCTCCTTTCAGTCAGCACAGAGCCAGCACAGAGCCACAGTTACTGTCCTCACAACTTAGAGGCCTGAAGTGTGAAGCCTGAAGTGAACTAGATTAAATCCAGATGCAGCTACACTGCTATTATCTTTACAACTGCAAAGCAAAGCAGGCACTTCCACAAGCTAGGTCCCCTAGGAACTAACACAGCACAGCAGTTTTTGCACTGGGCAGCCATAGACTAGAAGTCTCTGCTTGGTGTTAGCAAAACATAGCTGATACCTGGACATCACACATCCCAGCTTAAAGATAAACACTTTCAGTAAAACCAAGGCTTACGAACATTTACTGTTTCAGCCTGGTGAGAAATGCTTTCTATTGGTCACCTTCAGAGAGCACTGGGCAAAGTGCAGCTTTCTCAATTTCTTTAAGAAATGTTTTGTTTTTTTTTTTAAAGTGCCTGATTTTGGTCAAATGTATTTATGTGTCCCTACAGACACAAGTTCACAAACTGCCTGCTTGATTAAGGCTTCTATTTTCATCTGTGCTACAATCCCAAGAGGACCATAATCCAGTTTCTTTCTTACACAGAAATATGCAACCTTTGAGCCACTCTGCTGTCTGGTATTAGTGAGAGCTTTAAATGCAGGAGGCCACGCATGTTTAGTTCTCTACTTCTTACTGCAGTTCAAAAATAGGGTAGATTTTGTCACCGAGATGGAGTGTCAGAGGACAGATGTGCCAGCATTCAGAGCAGCCCTAGCACAGAGGGGCTCTGACACCAGTCAACTCCATGTGAAACTCAGAAAAAACAGATGTCAGTGGACCCTGTCCAGGTTTATACCAATGAAATCAAGATAAGAAAGTTTACAAAGTCCTTAGTCCAATTCTGAGTGAAAGCAGAGAGGTAGCTGAATGTCTCTTTACAGAATGGCTTGTGCTACAGTTTCCCATACACTCATTTCCTCTGGTGGTTTTGCTCTGAATTTACACTTGCAGCCCACCAGTGAAATAAGCCTTAAAAGCTTTATCTACACAGAAGTAACGATGCTCTAAAGATCAGCACCCCTTTAGCATGCTCTGCTGGACAGACTGAGAACCTTAACTTCATTCGTTATAGGAGAAAACAAGGGTGATCCCTTGAAGGGTCTACTTTAAATAGATCTTTTGTGTACTACTGAGCTTTGCAGCATCTGACACCTCAAATTTACAATGTAAGTCAGTAGTGCAAACAAAGCACAAGATTTATTCATGTGGAGCATTCTCCGCTACCCTGGAGGAATGGCGCGCCACTGACAAAGAGCCGCTTCACCCCAGGAAGCCCCACAGAGCCGAAATGCGTTTAAAGCTCAGTTCTAGCTGTAGCACCTGACACCCCAGCAGGGGGTTGTAGAAGCAACCAAGTGAGGAGAAGTTCCCAGGGGCCTGATTCAGGCACGGGGCTGAATTCTCCATTTTTCTGTGGATCCTCTGTACTGTTCCTCTGGAGCAACAGCTCAGTCTGGTCATAAGGGATTTTCAACGTACCACAGAGGCAGGTTAGCAGTCCCTTTCCATGGCAGATAGGCTCTGTGATACAGCCAGAGTATCTTTATTGTGTTCATATGCAATTAGATGCCATGGAAATATGCAGAGGTGCATATTTAAGATTCATACTGCAGTGCCCCGGAGAAATATTAGCGGTAGCTGAATGGACTAGTGGCAGTACCAGCAGCGGTTTAGCTGCAGCAGCACAGAGCTGTGTGCAAGAGCTAATTTACATTCTGTGCTGTTTCCAGTGCTCGTGCTGAATCAGGAATCCCATACTGCTCAGCAATTTCCGAACTGATATATACACTTAGGCCACAGTTGGTTAATACACTAAACCTGGCCATAAGGCTTTTAGAACCAGATGAAATCATTATGGTCACAAGATGCAAAGTGCTAATCCAGTGTAAATTTGCTTTGCCAGCATGAAACCCTTCGAATATTGTTTGCAGAGTGCTTGAAAAACAAAAAGCAGCTTTCATTCAGGACAAAAAGGCATTTGCCCTCCCACTGCCAACCCCAAATCTGTATTGTGCACTTTGGCTAATTCAGCAGAAATGAGGTTGCCGGCCCATGCCTTATGTGGAAAAATGAGTACCACTGTGTGGTCTGACAGTACCTCAAACTGGTTTTAATCAGCAAGGAAGGGTGAGCCTGGAGCAGCTCTCAGGCTTTGCTGATAGATGGTTAGGCCAATAGGCAAAACCTGGCAAAGCTGTGTAAATACCAACAAGTTACTGGTTAGTCAGTGACTTCGTCTCTGTTCTTTGAGTTTGAAACTGGAGAAATGTGTACTTGCACACTGCTGGCAGTGTGCACTTGCAGCCCAGAAAGCCAACTGTATCCTGGGCTGCATCAAAAGCAGCGTGGCCAGCAGGTCTAGGGAGGGGATTCTCCCCCTCTGCTCTGCTCTTCTAAGTCCCCCCCTGGAGCCACGTGTTCAGCTCTGGGGCCCCCAGCACAAGAAGGACACAGACCTATTACAGCAGGTCCAGAAGAGGGCCACAAAGATGATCAGAGGGCTGGAGCACCTCTCCCATGAAGACAGGCTGAGAGAGCTGGGGATGTTCAGCCCTAATAGAAGAAAAGGCTCTGAGCGGCCTTCAAATAAAGGGGGCCTACAGGAAAGCTGGGGAGGGACTCTTTGTCAGGGGGTGTAGTGACAGGACAAAGGGTAATGGCTTTAAAGTAAAAGAGGGTAAATTTAGATTAGATATTAGGAAGAAACTCTTTACTATGAGGGTGGTGAGGCACTGGAACAGGTTGCCCAGAGGTGTTGTGGATGCCCCATCCCTGGAGGTGTTCAAGGCCAGGCTGGATGGGGCTTTGGGCAGCCTGGGCTGGTGGGCAGTGTCCGTGCCCATGGCAGGGGGTTGGAATTTGATGATCTTTAAGGTCCCTTCCAACCCAAACCAGTTTATGATTCTATGAAAGTGACTGATATGTTTTCTCAAAGCACAGACCTAAATTCAGCCTAGTATCTACAGGGACTTCTTTGGGCAGATTTCTGCACAAAAAGCTAGAAGCTGGTGGAAACCTACCTTTCCCCAGACTAAGGGCCTTGCTAAGGACGCAGGTCAGAAGATGGATGGCAGAAGGAAGGCGAAGCTCAGTGGTGGTGGCCCTGGGCTGCTGCATTCTGGCACTTGGATTTCTCAGCCCCTGCCTCTCAGCATTTGCCTTGAAGAAATGGTTTCTCCGCAGCTGAGAAGGTGACAGCTGAGGACAGCTATTTCTGAGAGTCAAGATCACACTTCTGAGGGTGGGATGTGTTCCTGCCAAGCCCAGAGCACTAATTTTTGCTTCTCTAAGAAGCTCTTCCAGAACCAGTATCTGCCACCTCACAGAAGTTTGGAATATTTACCCTAAGTTTTTATTTTCTGCTCCATGTACTGTCTCCTTCCACTACTAGCAGCAGTGGTGACGCCGATCTTCCTTTTGTGTTTCCCCAGCTTCTCTTCTCAAGCATTTGAAACATGCCAACATTGTACTGCTTCATGACATTTTCCAGGCCAAGGAGACACTAACATTCGTTCTTGAGTACATGGTGAGTTTCTCTTTTCTAGCTTCCTGTGAAGCTAGTAATGGGAAGTACAGGGAAGAGACCAGTGGCTGCATCATGAACTTGCTGCATTGTGAGACAGCTACAAAGCAACAAATTGCAATCGTTTAATGCAATGACTGATTTTCCTTCTTAATCTCTTACTTTCCAGCCATGTAACTTCATTCTTTTCTTTCTGTGTATGCAACAACTGTATGCAAAGATGAATCCACATCTTGTCTCTACTAGTGTCACAGAAACAATTTACCTCCATTTACAAAGCAAAGACAGGGAATAATGATACTAGCTCACATCCCATCAGCATCAAATTTGGCACTGACCCCATGTGGCTCACCAGGACCAAGCTGCACGATTCTCTCATGGGCAAGATGCCACTAAACGAGCATGATCCTTGCTACTTTTGTTGGTTTTGCTAATAGCTATCAACCAAATTATAAGGAAAAGACAGGGGATATGCCTTCTTCTTACTGCAGCTTTATGATTAATTCTGGCACAAGTATGAACTCTGTTAACTATCAGCTTCAGGTCATAAACTGCTACAGTGAGATAACAGGTCAGCCAGCTCCCTGGCATGACCCAGCACTTAGGCACATCCTTGTGTACTGCATCTGATCAGATCTTCACCAAGGTGATACATATCCTTGGAGCGGTTGTGTATTTTTTCCACTTACAAAAGAGGAGCTTTTGGTAAAAGTATGTTACGCTTACAGCTCTGCCTCAATTTATCTGTTTTTATTTAGCACACAGATCTGGCACAGTACATGGCCCAGCATCCTGGAGGACTTCATCCTTGGAATGTTATGGTGAGTTCCTTAAAAGATGAGTAACCCTTAAAGCATAAGGAAGTATGCTATTTTCCACTATACATGATCACTGCAAATTGCTGCAGTGCTTAAAACATTTTTAAGCTCTTACTAATATCTATTTGATCCATACATGACAAACACTTTGGAGAGAAGTTGCCTTTGATAAAGAGGTAACAGACTACCTCTCAGTCTCTAAAGACTTTTTTCAGTTAGTCTCTCGTCCCTGAATTTGCAAGAGCACATTCAGCTTTTGTGGACAATTACATCTTGTGACAAGCAAATTTGTCTCTACAAAATTTTGTATCCTCTTATCATTAGAATACATTATTAATCTCCCTAATTAAAAGCTCTTAAATCTCAATCTCTCTTCATATGAAACTATCTTTCTATTTACAGTCATTTAAATCTCTTTTGTTTCTGCTACAGCTTTTTGGGATAGGTTGACTAGAACTGAGCATGGCTGAAGACATACCATTACTTGGTAGACTGATGTTATAATAGTCTCTGACTCTCCTTTGTACACATCTTCACATTTAATTAACTTTCAGGATTTTTGCTGCATACTGACTTACAGTTTCAATGCAGATGTCCTCAGTGAATGCCTGGGTCCTTTTTCTGAGTAGCTTCAGTTAATTTATCTTACAGCTGTCAACAATAACTTTGTACCTTATCAAACTGCCTATTCATCTGGCTTTGTCAGATCTCTCTGAAGTTTTTCACTGTCACTTCTTATCTTGGCTAATCTAAATACTTCTGTCATCTTCAAATGTTGCCACCTTGTTCACATCTTTTTGCAGATAGTTGTTAAGCAACACCAATTCTAATGAAGTTTCTCGGGGCCCCAGATTTTAAACATCCTTAAAGCTCAGATATGTCCAAGATGCAGCGTCGTAGTTTTGGCACGTATCTCAAGGACTCTGCTACCAGGCGGGCTTGTAAAGCACATGGAGTGCATGGCTGTAACATGTACTCACTGGCACTTGTGTGAGTAAACACTAGCCAGCTGCACTGCTTTCCTGTCTCAAACCTTCACTGTCAGCAGCAATCAAACAGAAAAAATGATTTACCATTCCTTTGGGGGGGCGGGTCATCTAGATTGCTTCATTTTTGCTTGGCCGATGTTTGCTTTTTATTCTCTGATTCCTATCAAATATGATGCAAGTATGCAGAATATTACAGGGACACTTTTCTGGTACAAAAATGACCTATGGGTGTCACTGTTTTTCCTCCTCTTCAAGTTAAGTTTCTGGTGAAAAATATCTTTTCTCTGGTAAAGTCTATTTACTTCTGCTGTCTTTTGTTTTCTAACCACTATGCAATTTCATACTTTGTTTCTGCCCAACTTATTCTACTGAAGGCTTATTTATGGTGTCATAATGGTAGGAGCTAGACATTTTTTTCTTGCTTTCTTTTTTGCTTGTTTTTCTGCTTTCCTGCCTGCTTCATTCATTCATCAGATCCTATCTGCTCTATGTGTTAGAATCATAGAACCATAGAACAGTTTGGGTTGGAAGGAATCTTAAAGGTCATCTAATTCCAACCCCCCTTCCATGGGCAGGGAAATGTTCAAATCATATCCTTGTGTCTTCTCCCAGCTTGAGGATAACAGCTCACATTTGTCAAACGAGTCAGTTCACTGGTCCAAGCTCACAGTGGGGAGAGGCAGTGCTGGTGTGAGCAGTGGCCCCAGAACTCCCTCTGCTGGTGTTAATCAGCTCAACTGGGCAAAACTTCCAACTCCTTAACCCTTCATTCTACTTAGCTTTACATCTTTATCAACACTGAAGTCAGAATATCTTCTGTTCTGAAAGATGGGTCTGTGTTTCAGCAAGCTGTGTTTCCTCCTGCAGTCAACAATCCTACATTTCCAAAAGATGCACTTAGGAAATGTGCTGTCCTCATGAACTGTCCTCATAGACAAATATTCCATCCCAAAAGCCTGAGGGCAGTCGTATCCCACCACTGTTTTCTACTTCTCAGCCAACACTACCCATTTGGGGGATTTTTACTGTTTTCTCAATTGTTTTGTCTCTGCCTTGTTCTAGGGCTTCTCCTGAAGTTCATAATTAATGTATCACAGCACTCACACAAAATCATTTCATTTTTTTGTTGGCTTTTTCTAGCTGTTCATGTTCCAGCTTTTGCGAGGCCTGGCATACATCCACCAACAACACATTCTTCACCGTGATCTGAAACCCCAGAACTTGCTCATCAGCTGCCTCGGTGAGCTCAAATTAGCTGACTTTGGTGAGTCACAGTTTGGATACTGCTAATATATCTGCTCAGACTGAAGCTTTAGCGTGCATATAGATTTGTATCCACAGCCAATTAAGGCACAGAAGCATAACCTCTTACTGAACTTCAAGAAAGTATTTCTGTGGTCAGTCCAGCCTTTCTTGCCTTTGCACCGATGGGTTCAGGAAGTAGCCTCATGTAAGTCAGAGCAATTACTGCCACATAAAACTGGTTCAAGAGAACTGAGAATCAACCCCTCTCTGTTAAGAAAATAATGTGACATGTTAAGTCCACAACAGTGTGCTGAACAAAAAGGTTTTCTTGGCATCGCTTTGGGATGGCTGCTTCAGGCACAAGTGGTAAAGCCCTGCAAAACAGTGTAATGCTTGATCTGACGTGCCCCAGAGGTTTATTTGAGACGCTTTTTTCTTTATTGTTTGTAAGTTGCGTTGGGGTTGCCTGTGTTTAATGGACCAATAGAAAAATAATGTTCTGTTTCCAATTATTATTATTATTTATGTGTTGTACAGGTGGAAAGACTGTACTGTCACAGCACTCAATATTTTTTATTTTGGCAGGCCTTGCTTGTGCCAAGTTCATCCCCAGTCAGACATACTCCTCTGAAGTGGTGACACTCCGGTACCGTCCTCCTGAAGTTTTGCTTGGAGCTACAGATTACTCTTCTGATCTAGATATCTGGTACTGACCAATGCCAAAGCATCTGGGGTCTCTTGGGAAAAATCATCTTTTTCTGAATTAAATGAAATCAACCAAATTAGAGTAGATACAGTTGTAAGCAGAGGAATTAACACTTGCTAGCAGAAAATGTATGAGCAGTGGGGAGTTTTGTACTGTGGGATTCACAGGTGTTTTTGGGAATGATGTTGCTACATATCAGCTGTGAAGTGATATGTATCTCATCTGATAATATTTATGAGGTGTGTACATCTCATTTGGTGACATTTATGGAGCACTTTCAGGTCTTGCAACATAGCATGTTTCCTTAAAGCACTTATTGTTTTGGATATATGTGGTTGGCTGACTCAGTAGTAGCTCTCTACAGCTATAGCTTTGTGAAGAAATGATGGATGCAATCCCAACTACACCAATGATGACTTTGGCCTTAGTTAAATTGTTAAAGGCTTTTGTTAAAGATGGCATTAAAGGGATTCTGAATAGGTCTGGAGATAGAAAGGTGTCTGAGATTATAATTACTTCCATGGTACTTTTTCTTCTCTAAGAACATCTCAGGTGCACTCTGCATTTCATGCAGAAGAAGGCCTGTTTTCAGTTAAAACTTCTTGCCTTATGAACTCTATCACAAAATCTTAAAATGTCTGGGAATCGTAGGATGCAATCTGCACAATGGCACAGCTGAACGGGGCAGGGGGCACTGACAGCAGGTAAAAAGCAGGACAGGCTGAGGGTTTCACAGAGCTCTCACCACTCTTTTTGGGCTGGTGTGGATGTGCAGCTGGGTCATAGGGTTCACCTGTTTTCTGGCTCACTTCTTCACCAATCTGAGCCCACTCCCAGCAATACAGTCCTGACTTACTCATGGACAGCATGAATTTCATGAGGGCAGAGCAGAGCATCTGTATTCCCAGCAATTTTACATCTGTAGATAGTTCTGCTGTTTTACGCTTTCTTCAGACCAGTTAATTCTCTGCCTGTGCCTTGCACACCAGGACTTTTATTAACTGCTATGCAGAGTCAAAGGCTGTGAAAGGGTGGGAATGCAGCAGGCTTAAGTATGTCTAAGAAGAGGGTTTGGTAAGTTTACAAACAGCAAAGCTCCAGGTCTTCCAACAAGTATTTCCTGCCAGAGATCTGTGACTTATCGGACACTGTGATGGCCTAGGTCTGTAGGCCAGTTCAGGGAAACAGGGGATTTTAGTTTGTTCACTTCCCTAGGGCTGATGTTAATATAATTGCTTAGGAGGAAAACCTTGCTAAATTCTAATGGTTTCCAGCTGCTAAGCCAGTCTAAACAGTCCTGTCATCTCCCTTGCACTAGTTGCTACCTCTACCCTCCAGACAGTCTCTCAGGAACGTCTGCTCTGTTTGAGGAAGATGTCTGCCTAACAGATTGGAGAGTTATGCCTTAGGTAGATGCTGGTAGTAACCTGGATTTTTTTCCTTGAAAGCTGAGCCCTGTTCAAAGCCCCGGCTGTACAGATAAAACCCAGCATTTCTGCCTGTGCAAAACCAGCAACCCCACTACAGAACCCTGCCCTGGTGTGTAGTGAATAGCAACAGAGGGCTGGTGTACAAAGATCCCATCCAGCACTCTGACCAGCTCAAACAGCACAGTACTCTCAGTCCCACTGAACTACATTCACACTATAGGCACCTTTGTTATAACGCCTCCTTATAATAACAACATTCAAAGTGTTTGCCCTACAGAAAGATATCATGCTGAGAGAATAGAGTACTTCAGTGAGCTCTATTCAGTAACTTCCTCTAACAAGAGTCATTTATTATCTTGATGTACACTGCATTTAACTTCAATTTTTGTCTATTAGGAAATAATGTGAATTCACACAGATGTTACTTGTCTGTTGGGAAGAAAGAAGAAAAAAAAACTATTTCTTTTGGATACTGCAATTTACATGAAGGCAGGTCAGAATGCCCTTGGTAATGGCATGAGGCAGTGGGTGTTAAAGCCTTGGTTTAAAGAAACCAATTATAACAAAATAAAACATTATGGCAATTCATGCATAGTGCGCTTGAGCAGCAATACTGTCAGTGGGAGGCACATGGGAAGTGAATGAGGCCTTGAATAGATGAAGAAAGAGATACAGAAGGAGACTCACCAGCTCTTGGACTAACTAGAAAAGCTGCTTTAATCTCTCTGTATCTTTTTATTCCCCCTCTTTCTCCCTCGCTATCTCTTCAAGACTTTAGAAGATTCAATTAAGGGATTTCAGGGAGACTAACAATGTTTCAGGGAGATTACGCTGCATATCAGGGAGATTTTTTTTTTCCTAAACACCAAAGGCTTTATGCATGTGCAGCGCTAGTTTTCAGAAGCTTCTAACATCACGAGTACCTGCAGTCATCACTTCTTCAGACAAGCTTTCCTTGTGTAGTATCTTCTATGAGAGACACAGGAATCTCCACAGGTAGAATCACTAGAATAAGAGTTCCTGTGCAGCCATTTAACACAGATCAGCCAGGACCATTACAGCCTTCTCCCCAGTCTAGTTCGCACTGCCCTGCTATGCCAAACTGGGAGACTTAGACCAGGGGCTCCAGTGTATAGAATTGTTCTGTAAGGAGCAAGAGGACAGATATACATCTGGCTAAATGTCAAATTGCTATCTTGCAATGCCAGAGAAACTGTGGAGAGGGATCTCTGGGATGCCACAGAGATACCTTAAATCTTAATACTGATGAAGGTGTTTCTCTGCTGTGCAATGCAGCACTGGAACATGAGGAATAAGTGCAGTGTCCAAACCTGCCCCAGGGATTGCAGGCTGATGTGACAGGGCTGTCTAAACCAGCCCTGTTTACGCTCACTGGAACTAAATATCCCTATAACCAGTTATACCTCTCCTCATACTTCAGCAGTCAGTGTCTTGCTTCACATGCATATCTGGCACATGCTGCAACATCATGTCTAGGCCCCTTCCTGAAAGACACTGTGAGGGACTACAGATGGTACCACTGTCTGTCGCTTTTTTCATGCTAGATGGTATCAAATCTGCTAAATTTAAGAAGAAAAAAAAAGAAAAAAAGAAAAAAAAAAAAAAAAAACAACACTACTTCAGGAGGTACCACATCCCTGATCTTATTTGCACTGGTGTAACTACTGATCTCATCAGGGTTCTTCTGTCTGACACCACTGCAAGAGACACCAGCACTAGCACTGCACTTCTGTTTTCCTCTCTCAGTGTTGGGAACCAATCCATGAAGCTACACTAGTCTAAGGATACAGCAAGCGTGAGGAGATACATGTGACCACTGAACAGCCACAGAGCAGGGAGTGGAGGGCTCCTCTGGATTTCCTCCTCCTGACAGAATTTGCTGTTCGCCCACCTAACTTGTCTGCACAGAACAACGCACACCTTCCTCTGCCCCAACTCTTCCCTGGGCAGCTGTATGGGACTGACACACTTCAAAAAGCCTTACATCAGATAGTAAGGAGGAAGAGGGGAAAACAAAACACCAGTTCTGACCTAGGTCTAAATCTTTAGAAATATTTAAAAGTAAAGGGTTTTATTTTAATCATTTTTATTAAGAGAAGGATCATTATAATGCTGCCAGGGCACTACCTGTAAATCCCATATCTCAGATGGAAAGTTGAGGCCTCTACAGAAAGGGTAATACGATGACTAGCATCAAGGAGGCCTTGTTTTCAAAGTCCTACTTTAAAAGATAGAAAAAGCTACCTGAGAAACTAAGGTGGGTTCCCATACTTCAGTTGTTCCAGCTACTTCTGGCCTTTTTGTAAGAAAAAAAGCATATTTCAGCCTGGAAGCACACAAAGATATAAACAGTTATAATTGCCACTGACAAATCGATTCAGTATCAAGCAAGCATTAAAGGCAGCTGGTTAGCTGAGTCTCACTACAGGAAACAAAAAGTCCTTCCTTTCCAGCAGTTGTGGTTGCTCTGATAGTTTTGTCTTCATTAGAGACACTGAGGCTTAAAGGCATCCAGAGATAACTGGAATAAACTAGGAAAATAAAAGAGAGCTCTATCAGAAGGGAAATTGGTAACAACCCAAAAGTTGTTCCTCTCCTCAAACCAACAGCTTGCCCATTAGCAAAAAGACTGTTTTATTAGATTTGAATTTCTGAGCTATTTGCTCTTGGGTAATTATTAGCAAATTCGAGCTAAAATCTAGAAAAAATTATGAAAAAAAAAGGTGGGGGGGAGAAAAAACCTTCAATATTTCCATTTATTGCTCTGTCTGGATTTTATGCCTTCTCAGCAATAACGGAAGCCACAGCAGATCTGGTTTTCTGCCAGCCATGAATTCTGTTGGCTTAGACCTTTGCTTAAGAGCATTTTAGGTCATGAAGACCACACTTACAGAGCACTCATCATTAGAAGCTCTTTTCCTTAGTACTGTGTAAGCCTCTAGTCCCCAGGTCCTCAGGGTCTTAAATTCAATTTACAAAACAGCACAGACAGCGCTGTTCATCAGGAGGAACCTCTGCAAAAGATCTAGTGGTATTTCTCTCATCTGGGTGCTACAGTGAGTCCATACAAAGTTTCTGCTGTTGCCAGTCTAATGGTCATTTCTAGCTATGATATCAGAACCCAAACTCTGTGTAAAAGTCATGATCATTTGCTCCAAAAACATGTGGAGTTGATTCTCTTCTCAGTACAAATCGAGTACCTAAATTGCATTGACCATATGCGGTTAAACTTGTGCAATGTGATCAGTGGATTGCAGCAGCCCCTGTGGTTGCAAAATAGGGCGAGCCATTTGGACACATAAAACAGCTGTGAAAACAGAGGGTTGGTATGACACTGGTCTCAGTAAAGTCAATCTGTGGGCTCACAAACAACTGCTAGTGATGTGGTAGTAGTACGAAACACAAAAATCTGCGTCGTAAAAGCTGTGGGTTAAGTTTCATGATAAGCCTGGACCGTGTGAGAGCACATTTAACAAATAAGGAGCTAAACTCACAAGACCCAAAGTAAGGGTACAGGAAGTTAAGGGTAACTGCAGCAGAGATGTTTGTGAAAACAGCATTAGATATGGATCTGCAAACAGGCCTGGCATCACCTGATGTATGAGGATGACCAAAATTAATTCCGCAGATGAGCTGCATGTCAGGCATTCAACTGACCACAGCCAGGTGTGAAAAGCATCTACAGCATTGCAAAAACAAGGTGTAAGGAGTAACAGATGACCAGAAAAGATTACTGGTTGTGGCTCAGCAAGTGAGAATACTTTTGGAGACTGTTAGACAAAGCTGGGTTTTCAACATTTAAACTTAAGGGACTCATATCTGGTATCACAGAAGAAGACTGAGACTTAAATTTGAATAGTTGGGATGGGGCTTAATGAAAAGGCTGGAAAGCTAGAAAATACTTGGATGAAAAAAAGAAAAAGTAAATGAGCAGAGTTTTATACCATACAATAAGAGATGGAAATAGTTGCAAATAGATGTCTACCCTGTCCACAACTATCTCATCATTATTTCCAGCAGAACTAATCCACCTTAGTAAAATTAAGCAGTTTTTGCAGCTCTATTTTTTGTTGTTGTTATTCTGGCACAAATGCAGATCAGGAGATGTCATAAAAATGGGATTACTTTGACTAGCTTTTGCCACTGAAGTCTTTATGCTATGAATTCTTGCCTTCTATTTTCCAGTGAAGAGCCAATTGCTTCTGAAGGGAAATCATTCTAGCACCTACTGCCTTTGTGTTCTTTCTAAGTCTATTCTTCGAGCCCATATAATGTCTTATAGTTTCCCATTTATTTTTCATGTTGTTATCACTCCAATTCTGCACCTTTTTCTCACCGAAAACAATCTACTATTCCACAGACTTCTGCCCTGACTATCTGTTTTTAGGTGGGTTTGTAACAGGATAGGCTGAAAGAGACCTGAAACAAACTGTTTGCTGCTGGAAAAAAGACACCACTTAGTGGGTTTCTCTTCCAAGGATACCACCTGCCTTCTTTTGCTGGTGAAGGGTGTTGTTCTTTTTAGTAGGCAGTGCTGGTGAGAAAAAGCAGATGGGACCAGAACTCATACGGAACTTTGACTGCTCTCTGCTATTCTAAAATATTTATCCTGGAGGGATGTGAATGTGATGAATCTCCAGTCTCCTCCCATCCTATTTTACTTGCTGGGTTTTTAGGTCAAGTGTTTCAGTGTGTACGGCTGAAGTGGCCTTCAATGGAACCTTTATTTATTTACATGTATTCAGACACTCCACGTCCTGCCTTGCTTCCTACGCACACACACACTGGATGAAAAGAATGTAGGCAATACCTACACATCAGGCTCGTACTTTTCAAACATGAGCTACCAAACATATAGGATTTACAACTTAGATCAGGATTTATGAATTTACAGAACAGGATTTCTATATTTCCATTCCAACAATTGTTACCTCTCCCCTGCCCACCCCAGATTCATATTGTATATATGATGTATGTGCATGAGTTAATACCTTGGGTTTCTTGCAGGAGCGCAGGCTGTATTTTTGTTGAAATGATCCAGGGTCAGCCAGTATTTGCAGGAACTTCTGGTACTCCTGAACAGCTGGAGAAGATCTGGGAGGTGAGTACAATATATCCTGAAATGGGAGAGAAAAGAACGTATTGCTCCAGCTCCCTACTTAATTTTGAAGTCCTGAGCATAGGTCCTGTGAATAGCAGAATAATTTGGTCCAATCTGCCAGGTTCATAGCAGACTTTGTAACCCATTTTATATTTGGCAACTTTCTTACAGACACCGGAGTAAATCAAATGACTTTCCTTTGATGTTTGTCATCTCATCAAAAATTTAAAGCCAATTAAAGTGACATCAAATTGAAGCAGGCATAAAAGGTGTGCAGGTACTGCAAATTCTGTTCCTTCTCGTTAAATCTTTTACTTATTGTAGGATACAGCACACCATAATCTCACAAAGAAGCTCTAATACTGCTCACAAACTGTCTTGAAAATGGCAGGGTCCCAAGGTTTTTTGCAGGTCCTTTGTTATATTAACTTGGAACATTTTGTCTCATCCAGTTTATAGTGCAGCCCTAGAGAACGCTTTGGCATAATGGGAAGTGTGATAAATTACTTTATAAAGGCAGCAGTGAAAAAGAGCAGAGGTATTCAGGATCCTCTTAAGCTGTATTTCCTGCTGGGGAAGCAGAAACATAGAGCTACGCCCTCAGTGCTGCTTGGTAAAATTGAGGCAGTTACCGGCACTGGTGGATCCTGTATGTTCACGACTGCTCACTGCTGGCTCCGTTACTGATTCTTCAGAAAGGTCAACCCAGAGGTTCCCACTGGATGTTGCTGCAGGTATCTGCCCTTTCACTTCTCCCAGGGATTTACTCTTCTGCATAGGCTGTTTCCCAAACATGGGTTTTCAAAGGATAAAGTACAGAAAGCTGGAACTAGGGAAGTGGTGAGAGAGGACTTTATAGCCTCAAGTCTGTGCAAATCAAGTTTTTCCTTCTTAATCCCTTTACTCAGAAACGCTTCTGCCAGGTTGGGTTTTCCTCTCCACTTTTACCTAGAACGTGTTAAAAATACAGGTAAGTAAACCCCGTTATTAGACTTGAGTTCAGCCCTTTTAAATAAATGCTGAATTACTCTTTCATAGAAAGTGGGGGAAAAAAGAATTACCAAGGAAAAAAAAAACATCCATACTTGGCCAATTAACACAGTTCAAAACCAGGGCAGGGCCCAGTTTTGCAGTGTGAATGAAGGCTATCCTTCCACGTATGACTGAAATCTCTAGATACATTTCCTGTGGTTTTCCAGTTAGAGGGTTATAGCCCTATCGTCATTTCTCTGGTATTATAACTGATACCGTGATTAATAGGATTTGTGCTATTGAAGGCAAAAACTTATTTAAAAATCATGAGGAAGCTTTAAAAGCCATGAAATAATTAGTGCCTTTCACAGAAGGTTTTATGTTATTATACAGCCTGGAATGAGGCTCTGTGTTAGGCCAAAATTTCAAAGCTCCTTAGAGGCTTTCGATGCCTAGCTTGAGATATTTTGCCAAGCGTGAGGTTCAGAATGGGGATTCCCACTGTTTTCTAATAGTCAGCTCCTTTCATGTACTAATAATAGAGGCACCATGCACTGATTTAGAGACCATTTGCAATTATGTGCATGACTTTATGTCATCCGGCGGGCTTATCCCCACACAGGACTGTTGGTTCAAACACCATATAGATATCTCACTGGAAAATCCCCCTGCTGTGAAGTATGTTCATCCTGTTGAATTATCAAGACTGTCTAACTGTGATTTCACCAACACTTCTCCTAGAGGCAAGCACCACCTCAAGTGGTCTCCATCCTCCCCTCTGTCCCTGACTGCTCATTCCTGCCTGTGTTACCCCTCACTTAGAGGAGTTTCTATCACAGCTCACAGCCTGGGTTGCCAGAAAATATTGGCTGGTACCAGTGCAAGTGGGCAGAGTAAGTCCCCAGTGCAGTGCTGGCACAGGAAGACACTTCCAGCAGTGAAAGGGATTGCACAGTGTGACCCCTGGCTGGTGAACATGTGTGAGTGACACCTGGCAGTGAAGCTAGACACACCTTCAATGATGTTCTCAGCAGCAACATTACATCTCAGCAGGACCCTTTCTGCTGTAACATCGAGTGCTAAAATATCACTGTCATTTATGTGCAGAGATAGATCTAGTACCAGCTAGGGCAGGGGGAATCTGTGCTGGTTCACAGGAAAGGCCACTGGCTCTCTGGTGAGACCAACTCTTCCACCTCCGCACTGATGCAGCGTACCGGCAGACAGGCCACTGCTCGTCTCACTCTCCTTCTTGTTTTGCACAGGTATTGGGGGTCCCAACTGAGAACATCTGGCCAGGACTTTCCAAGCTCCCCAACTACAAGCCAGGTAGGACTTACCTCACAAGAACACCAGCTTTTTCTCTGAGCCACTAACCACTTAGCAATTTGGGGGTCACTAATTCATATTATCAAAAAGCGATGTTTCAGAGCTACTAAATCCCTTAAACTACTTAACAGTAGTTAGTGTTGCTTTAGGACCAACGGCCCAAGATACAAGCAAAAGTACACTTGTGGCAAAGCTGCCTCACTGAGATACGTTAGGCTGCTGGAGGATTTCATTGTCCCAAGTGCTAACAATGCAGTTAGTCTCCACTCCTCAGTGCGAAGGACCAATGTCTCCTGTTCTGCACTAGAAAAGCTGACAGGTACCAGGGGACATAGTTTATCTGAACTCTCCTTATTTTCATGGAGATTGGTTTGGGGGCCTTTAAGCCTCAGTTTTAAAGGTCACTGTCCCCGATTTTGATGTGGGCAAGGTGAGAAATCTGTGTGATTTATAAAGCTGGCTTCTTTTATTTCCACATGGGCTGGTAGAGAAGTCTGTGTCCTGGACTTCAAAGGGCCAGTTGTCTCTTATTTTGATGTGGGCAGGTTGAGAAGTATGCTTTGAAAAGCTAGCTCAGTCACTCTCCCTCTCCCCCTCTCTCTTTCCCTTTTTCTCTTTCTCTCTCTTTTTGTTTAATGTTTTCTCTTGGGAAAATATATTCAAGTGTCAGTGAGGGGGAAATGATGAGCACTGATTCTCAGCCTCTCAGCAGGATCATTCTCTAAGAGAAATATAAAAGTGAAATATTAAAAACCCTAGAATGTGAAATCCACCCATCTGCAGTCTAGCCATTCTCTCTCGCTTGTACCCTAACAGAGTGGTGGGGGGAGTCTGGCTCTCTGGAAGGGAAAAAAGAGAACGGGGGGAGAGGAGGAGGGAGAAGACGTGCTTTGAGCAAGAGGTTTACAGGTTTAGTAGAGCATAGTAACATCTTTTCAAAGAAGTGGGTGTTGCTCTGTGACCCAGTCCAAGATGCCCCTCCTTTGATTCTGGTGCATGAACACTAAACAGCCCCCATTTTCACATGGTAGCCGCGATTGGCTGAACAATAACCTGGTCTCACAGTCGAAAGGGCCGGAATCTTTCACACAATTAGCTGAGACACATTAATCAAACCAGCGTGAAATGGGAATGTGTCGCTGTCCTCAGCAAGTTTAATTTGGACAGGGAGCAAGCACAGAGCAGACAGCTGGAGGAAGCACTTTCTTCTCTGACTTGTTGAAGGCTTGGTTGGGTACTCTACAAGTTGTGAAAGGTAGTCTGGGAGGAAAGAAATGCTTATGTGTGGGACAAATTGCTCACAAAGAAGCTTTTGACGTCAGTCATCTGTGCATACAAGGCCAAAAACTCTAGTGAAGCCAATTAGGTATCCTGATGCTATATGCAGGTACAATTGAAAAATGCAAGCATTAAACCGTAAACTAATGGAGAAACTGGTACAGACAGCACAGAAAAGCTGAATGTCCACAACTGCCCTCTGCTTTGCACTGTTTTGTCTGAGTAGCAGTGCTATCTGCGGCTTGGGATGGTGCCAGTGGCAGGGCTGGGAGGGAGAAGACAGGCACCTAGGCAGCATGGAAATGGCTCCTGTGAAGACACGTGAAGTCATTATTAGCAGTTTTCAAATCTGAATTGTTATCAGAGTGGATAGAAAGATTCCCTAATGGACTGCAGTGGGGCAGAACTAACCTGTGCTGTGATCCTGCGATGCTGGTGCCTTTTGTGGCTGGCACAGACAGAAATTAGAGGAGTTAGAGGACACCCTCCTAGGGAAGCATCCTTCCGTGCTACCAGTAACATGGAAGAGGGGTCCTGAGCCGGTGTTTGGGGCAATACCTTGCCAGCTGGAGAGCCAGCATCCCTTTCCCCTCCTCAGAGCCTACCGAAGGGGCTCTGAGCTGCTCTAGTCATACAGTGAAACCAAGCACTTGGCTCAAACCTGGGATATAAAGAACAGTCTGGCTAGGATAAGACTATTCACATACAGGTAGACTGTTTGCCCTCGTCAACAACTCAATCAAGTCAGTTTTTGACAGGGCTGCCAGTAAGAAGGCAAACCAGTCTCTTTGAAGCTATTTGCCATTCACATGCTCAGAGAACTTCCCCTGCTTCCCTGAAGCACAAGTGCTAACTGTCCCCCCCAGGACACGCTCACCAGGTGAAACTCTGCAGCCTGCCTGAGAAAGCCTTCGCTCTTGAGGTTCTTTCCAGCCCAGTTGTGCAAATCTGAGTGCCTGGGACAGTTCAGATAAGCAAACAAACTTTGGAGGCTTCCCCAAATCTGATGGCTTGAATGCTTTTAGCTAGTCCTACTGATGTTCACAGCGAGCGCAGGCAGCAAACAAACAAACAGGTTCCTGCCTGAGGCAAAGCACGAACACGCGCAAAACAAAGCTCTGAGGTGTGATCCTATTCTCATTGAAGTTGATGGCAAAACTCCCACTGGATTCAGCAGTGTAGGCTCAGCCCCAGACTGAGGTTGTTACTGGAAGGGTTCCTGGGCCAGGTGGGTTAGTAGGAATCTTTCAAACGAAAACTGGAAACCTTTAGATGTTTTCCTGTCACTGCTGTGGGCTGAAGCACATCCTGCTGCAAACCCTGCAGAGGAAATACAGCCTGGGGTCTGCGAGCCAGGCACAGCTGCAGGAAGGGCAGCTCCCCTGCCCCCTCTACGGGCAACTGGCAAAGGAAGTGCAAGGCAATGCTAGTCCACCCTATGCCCCTGTGCCTTCTTGCACAAAGAAGTTCAGAAATGGGCCTCATGTCCATTGCTACAGTTTGCCGAAATCTCAGCCTGTGCCTGAACCCAGGTCAACAGGGAAGATGGGTGAGCAACATTTCCTTGGCCAACCCTGCAGCCTGTGATCTGCCACTCGCTCTCCAAGAGGGAGATGGAGCCTGAAAGCACAGTGTTCCCCCCACCTTGGCTTCAGGACTGGTTCCTGCAGAAGGCGAAGGGCTGGGAGAGCTCCTGCCCCACGTCTCAGTGCACTCGCTGGCCCTCTCCCCAGCTCCCCATGCTTAGGAGCCCTGCCCGTAGCAACAAGGCTTTGCCCTGTGTTTGTTCATTTCTTCTGTTCCCCTCATTTTGCTTCCCCTGAAAGAGGCAGTTGTAGCTCTGTTAACACTATTTTTGAAAGCTCTCATGCTGTGTGAGCTCAAATCCTTGCATTAATCTACTGCTGTGTTCATTTCACTGCGCTGAAAAGCAGGGAGTTTAAATCCCCTCTAAACACCACTGGTGACACCAGAAGGCCACTGTTTTGATCCAGCCCCATTAATGGTTACAAGTTTGAATCTAGACAGCGGGGGTCAAGGGCAGGAAAGGATTAGGAATCACAGCCCATGACATTAAGCTAGTGCTTCTGCCAAACTGGGAATACTGGAGCACCCAATCCATCGTTTAATGCCTCCTTTTCCTGATATTTGGATTGCAAAGAGGAGGGAACAGTGCTTATTTGTTTGTAACACGATGAGCTTGCTGTGAGTGAGCTATAACTTGCTGCGAGTGAGCCCTGATTTATCGCACAGGCTGACTAATGAAGTTTCCTGTGCCAGGTAGTATCATTTCACTTTGCCGGCACACGTTTTTCACTGCACTTCTTCAGATGCAGCAACCGTTTTTAAATTAAGCCTCGTTTTCCGAATGTCTGCAGGCTTTGCTATCATTTTTCAAATGTTGGTAGGCTTTGCTATGCTGAATGAGATTAGAAGCTTTCCATAGGCAACTTTTCCTGAGCACATTTTAGTATCTGTTGCTTTTCCAAACTGCCACCAGCAGATGGAGGCAACAAGCAGCAGGCACTGAGACACAAACTTCAAATGACATTTTTGAGAATGCAGATGAAGTCTGAACTCTGAATCTTTTTATTTATTTATTTATCTTATCTCACTTTTTATGCTGATGCTTCGTTTAATAAATGGGATGGTTGGAAACTGAATTCTAAAACGATGAAATTTTTATTGTCATAATAAACTGTATATGGCTTTGATCCCAAAGGGAAAAGCAGCACTGCAACTAATGCACAGTATATGGTGGCCAGGCTGCAGGGAAACTCCCTTTGTGCCTGGCACTGGGCACAGGCTGCAGTTTGCAGTCTGCCACACAGACAGAGCTCTGATTCTGTCCTGCAGCCGCAGAGGTTTCACTAATGAGAGAAATTTTCTCTGTGAGCCTGCAACCTCAGCACCTTCATCGAGCAGCACAAGGCATCCTCTTTCTCTCTCTTCATCAATTAGGAAAGTTTAACTTTTGTCCCCTGGCTTGCTTGCCTCATTATCAGTTCATTAACCACTTCCACCTGGGTTTGCATATAGGAAGGTATTTCCTCATTAGCACAGACTGCACTGCATACTGATAGAAAATAACAAACCCAAGCACCACCTTTCCGATCTCCTCATACTGTTACAAAAACAATCAGCCCTATACAATCCCATCATTTATGTGTGTACATCATCACTGTAAAATGATTAAATCTGTAGTTCATCCACTTCTTTGTCTGATCTCTCTCACCTTTAAGGAGTAGCTGTTTGCATTGTCTTACGGTTTTAGATTGGTCTTAATCTTTACAGTAGGGAAGATATTTACTGCCCTGTTCGTACCCAGCTCAACAGAATGGGGCCTCAGAATCCTCTACGGGTTTGTCTATATGGGGTCAGTCAAGAGACTAATCTGAACTGATTTAAAGTGGATTAGTTAACTGCATTAAATCCTTAAGTAGAAACACAATGTTTTCTTACCCATATCTTCCATTTATAATCAAAGCTTTGTATACTCGAAGTGGCAAGTTTGTCGGTCCTCACTCAAGCAGAATTCTGCACAGAGATATTTGTTTGGACAGGGAAAGCAGTAGTTGGCTCACTGACTCTTACACTACCCCTTGTAGATAATTATTAATCTGTGTGTTATATAAATGTTAAATCAAAGTAAAGAATCTTGGTCAAGATACAGCAAAGATTATAATTCAGGCATTTTTCCCAATTCCCAGTAAGCAAACAGATATTTCTATCTGCAATGTAAAGAAAATCCTGTTTCCTCCTTGGAATGTTAATCCTGGAAATTTACTTAATAAAAACAAAATCATGTTTCAGTTAGATATCACTGAAACCCTTTGCCCTGCCATTAGCAACTGCACTTTCATTTTTTAACTTTTATTTTAAATTTATTAAAGAATACTCATTTTAAAAGATTTCACTAAAGTACAGTATTTAAGTAATTTTGACATTTTAATTAAATATTAAAGGAAATTGATATATTGCTATGGAATGTTTCCATCTCACTGAAGCAGAACTTTCTGGCTGAAAGTTGCAGCATCTGAAAGTTTTTGGCCAGCTCTGAGAAGAGGTTAAACCTTCTACCTCATGCAAAAAAATCTTATGCCTTTCCAAACCCATTTAAACTCATTTTTCTTCTATTTTTCCTGGAAACTTTACATTTCTACTCAATACAGACAATTTATTTCTACACTTTTATTACAGCTGAGGGGGCAAAGTGAAAGAAGGAGGATCTAGAGAATAAGTTAACAGTGATCCAAGAGGAACATCCTGCCAGAGTTAATCTCGGTGATTGACTAGGGAAGGGGCTACTAAAGATACAGAACTTCTATATATTGCTGGTAATTCCAGAGCTCTGGCACCTAAGCAGTCCTGAATCCCATCCCAGATGATACTGCCATTTACTGCTTCAGCAATTACCTTAGTATTTGGGTGTAGGAGAGCACTTCAGTTGTGACCTGTTACTTACACAGTGACAGACAGGTTTAACAACCTGCTTGCCTGGCTTAATGGTGAAAGATTGCTGCGGGAAAGGTTAAGTGCTGAAAGTTCAGTCATTTGCACGTTTTCAAATTGTCTGTGCCTCAAGTCAGACACGGAGTGACCCAGCCCCAGGGCCTGCCGCCCTGGAAATGGCCGTGCAGGCTGAAGGCCGAGGGGACTCTTCCTTCGGCTACATTTGGACGCTTCTGTCCTTGAATGGTGAGGCTGAGCTGAGCAGCTTGCCGTGCTCTTGACAGAAAGCAGGGGGAGATGCTCTAGGACTGCAGGATAAGCCAGTCCAAGTCCAAACTTGGAGGCTGTTATACGCCAGTCTATTGGCAAGAGAGTAGTGGTGCTTGCCTCCGGGTGGTCTCGCTGCTGTGGGGAATGCTTTTCCAGGCCCTAGCTGGAAGAGAGGGCTGCACCACCCTTCCTGCTCTCATTTCCATGGCTAGAGCACCTTTCATCTCTGCTGTCAGAAATGGTGTTCAGGAAAATGTGGCTGGGCATAAATTACGGCCTTTCTGATGCAAGAAAATGCCTTTGTTAATCAGCCGTAAGGGTAATCTTCCAAGTGTAAGTCATTTATTCATATCTAAGCTTGTGAAAATCCATGGGTTGTACGAAAACATTTGAAGAATGTATTCTTCCACTTATTCAGCATTTAAAAACGTGTCCTTGAAAACCGGCAACAACAACACAGCCTTCCCAAAAGTGCCAACTCTACAGTGTTCCAGTCTGCTAGAGATGCTTGAAGCAGTAAGTACAAAGCATGCATGAAAATGGTTAACATGATGAATGACAAACTGAGCGAGGGACTGACAGCAAGAGCAGTGTGCAAAAGCAGAGTGGGATCCAAGTGCCTTTGCTTCATCCCCAGTCTTTCCAGCAGCTCCATGCAGAAAAGCCCCACATGCCCCCAAGGGAATACAAGAACCTCAGCAGCTCTTTAGTAAACAATTGCTGGAGATGCAGGCCTGCAAACCTCTTTCTGCTTCCTCAGTGCAAAGGACTCGGGGAGTTAGACTGAATTTATTGAAGTCAACGCAAAGGCTCACTGAAACAGATGGAGGCCCAAGGCCTGCATTCACAATGTGTGAAAGGAAAGGGTTACAGAACTGGAACAGCCTTATTAACATCAATGCTAGTACTCAAGTCCTATAGGAATAATGTATATTTATAAATACTAAGATGACAGATTCTATAGGGCCCTTTGAAATTCCAAGCACGTGTTTTTGTAAGGGCTCAAAGAATGATTTTTGGCTTGATTTTTGTTTCATCCTGTGATTGCATATTATACTTTCTAGAACTGGTGCTTCCAGGAGACCTCAGAGACTCCGAGTGATCTGTGACAGGTAAGCTACCTGTAACGGCAGTGTCAAAATGGCCTCTGGGTTTATTTGTTTCTTTATGCAATCATTTAACTTGAAATGAGCTCTTTTGGCAAGCTGAGGAAGAGCGAGGTGGCTCTGTAGTAACAAGCAGATCCAACGTCAGCTAAGGAACTGATTTCAAGAGATCGCAGTAGAGGCAGGCACACAGTGGGTTTATTACTCTCCCAGGAGAAGTGATTGTTCTCAGATAAGCAGCAATTCAAGGACATTGTGTGCAGTTTTCTGAGGGGCACAGCTGAGATTCAGGCGGTCCTACTTTCCCAGGCCGTCTTGCCCAGACTAAAGACAGGCTTTGTACCGTCCCATTTTTATTTTCTAGAAACATGCTGTAGGAACAGCACTCAACAGTGGTAAGGAAGACACACCAGGACAGCATTACATGAGACAATGAAACAATCTCCTGATTAGTTAAGAGAGGAAAATTCACATTCTTCAGAAGCCAAAAGCAACAAAACAAGGGCCATGGTTACACACCTCACCCTGAGCAAGCACCAACACCACCAAACATTCCCGAGAGTGTGCAGGGAAGGGAGCATTTTTCAAGTGTGTATGTATGCACACACACACACATATATGCCTAAATGTATCAGTGAAAGAAATTTATAATGAGATGAAGTGCCCTAATGTTGCTCAGAGAGTTATTAAAATAGCATCCCCTCAAACTGATTTTGAGGGAGCATTGGTACACAACAGGCTTCACAGATGCATAGGAAAAGAATAGACATGATCTGTCCTCAGGATTGTGTTCACACACAGGTCAAGAATCAACTGTCCTTTGTGGATGTAGCCACATTTTTCAGCAGTGCTGTTTATTATCTGTTCAGCTCATCACTTTGGATTCAGTACTGCTCTAGGCTGCCCTTCAGAGCTGGGTTTCCCAGACTCTGTTCTGAATTGCTGAACGAACACACTGAAGTTTTCAGCAAAGCCCAGGTTGCCAAAATGCCAGCCATTGTCACACACATCTTCAGAAAGACACAAAGCTCCACGTGTCTCAAACCCTGATAAGACAGGTCCTAGAACAGAACAGGCCCTCTCCCAGTCTGAACAAAGACATAACTATTTTCCTTGAAACTCTGCTCTATTGCACTTCTGCTTTTTTGGCCACAATCCCTTCGCAGGCTCCATTACCTCTGCATGCTGCCGAGCTCTGGGCTGCACACGGTCCTGCCCCGGGCCTGCCACAGCATCCTTACCCTGGGATGGCCAAACAGCCACGCTAGCACGCTCGGCTCTCGAGAAGGAAAGAGCTGCTTCATGCAGGCTGCTCAGCCATGAGGCTCCACGGCCAATTAGGAAATCAAAGGGGAGCTGTGTGCAGAGCTCAGCCGTCACCAGGAAGCCTGAGCAGCAGCGGGAGGCAGCGAACCATCTCGCTGCCCGGTGTGGCAGCCTGCAGCAGCGGGGCCTGAGGGGCAGAGGGGCTCGGGTAAGACCCTGCCACGGCCAGGGCAGCCCATGCTGCAGCTCTGCTGAGCAGCCTCAGGCTGAACGCTTGGGCTCCCTGTCCCGTCCCTGCTCCCCAAACAGCAGGAGCTCAAACTGTTTTGCTGGAGGTGAGAATTCAGCAGTTACCTACCACTGTGAGGCCGGATACCTTTTATAAATGCTTCTTAGACCCTCTTTCTTTTTTTTTTTTTTTACATTTTATACCCTCGAAACAGAACTGCCAGCACGTCAAATGTCCTGTGCAGGGAGGGGGAGCGTGGGGCGGGGGGATCCCGGCCGTGGTGTCACGTGGAGGGGAGCACCAGGGGGGCAGAGGGAGGAAGCACAACAGGCCGTGATCCGATGGGCATCCTGATACTGAAACCTGAGCAGAACAAACAAACAAAGTAAAAGCTGTAAAACTAAATGACCATTTTTATTTGTTTGCTTGTTGATTTGTTTTCTCTCCTCCACTTCCTCGTCCCCAGCTGTGTGCTTCTCTAGGAAGCAGCCACTTGGCATTGGTGTTTGCTGGGCACAGAGCACGTGTGTGTTACATCTGTTTTAAAGTCTCATCCCGAAAAACAGATTCCTCCTGCTGAATCCCCGACACATTTTACAACCAGCTGCATGACTGGTACTGAGGTAGGAAATGAGGAATGGGTATTTCTTCAGTTTGTTAGTTTTGACCTCCAGTCTGCTCAGTGAGCCAGTCAGGTAGTTTTGTGCACTTGCAGTGCTCACTGTAAATTGTTAACGCCAAGCTCGGCCAGTTCCAGTTATGCCATGTAAACTGTAGTCCTCCTGGCAACAGTTTCCCTTTTACTCCCAACCTTCTTTTTTTTTTTCAAAATTATCCTGAAAAGATGAGTCTGAGCTGAGATCCTCCATATATACTCCAGCATAATCGAACTCCCACGGAAAAGCAAATGTCCTGGGAGCCATACATCTGGGGTGGGACCCAGCTGCCCCAAGTCCCTCCACTATCTCTGCCTTAAGCTCTGAGAAGGTCTGGGTCCAGTCTGATTCTAGCTTTCTGGCCTGTGCTCATCTCCTGCACTTTTTCCTCCCATTTTCCTAGGCTGAGCAGGGTGCCGCAGCAGAGGATCTGGCCTCTGGCATGCTCACAGCCTTCCCTCCGTGGCAGATCTCTGCACAAGATGCCCTTCTTCATGGCTTCAGCCCTCTGCCTCCACAGCTCTACCAGGTGCCTGCTGGTAAGTTAACTCTTGATTTCACCTCACCAAGAATGACCTACTTCACATGCCATTTATTACAAGTTTCTTCAGTACTTCGGACCCAGACACTTTGTCTCTGCCTGTCCTCCGTCCCTGTTGCTGTATGCTGCAAAATCTACATCCCAGTGCAAATTCCACAGCTTGTTTTTCCATTTTCTTCCACAAAGTTAATAACAGAAGGGGACCTGGATGGGATGCCACCATGGTGCACTCTCACAGCTGAGGTGTACATGCTTTGATAGCGCCTTTCTCCCCCATTCTGTAACCCCAGGGGCCCTGAGCTTTTCCTCCGGCTGGCTCACGCTGTGTATTCAGCGTAACTCACATGCCAGTCCCTCCTGATGGCCTGAATTCCCAGCTGCTCAGCACAATGTGCTAGCCCCAATCCCCTTGGACCGCTCCTCCTGCTCCCTTTTGATGTTCAGAGGCAACAGCTGTTCCTCGTACCCTGTCACACCACCTCTCCCCCATTTTACCTGCCTTACTTTCTTCTCCCCTCACTGCCTTCTCTTAAGCACACAGTCACACAGACACATCTCACACAGACCTGACTCTCCTGCCCTAAGCTGAGGATAAATGCAGGGTTTCTCAAGCTCTAGGTTCTGATCCTCACTACGAGAAGCTCCCTTGTGTTGGGAAACAGGCCAGAGAGCCCCACCATGCTCTGTTGCCTCCTGGGCACCAGCTATGCTGGTTAGTTTTGTAGTGTGGGTTTTTGTGTTTTGTTGTTGTTGTTGTTTTTTAACATAGGGGCAATTAAGAAGAAACCTTCTTGGACTGTGTTGTCAAGCTATTTGAAAACTTAATTTCTGGCTTCTGTGACATATCCCAAGTGAAGGAGCAGCCAGCTAGCATCTCTCCCAAACTGCCGCCCTTCTGAAGGTGCTGTGTGTGTGCGTGTGCAGGAGTGAGAGACATCTGCATTCCTTTTCTGTTCACCCAGCCACAGAGCACAAATCTACTTTGACACTTTTAGAAAAATGAAAAGATGGAATCTCGCAGGAGCCTGCCTGTGCCGGGGGGGGAGGAGGGGAGCACTCACAGCAGGAGGGAAGTTGACTTTTCTTTATACATATAGGGTTTTTTCCATGCAGAGTTTAAATTATGCCTGATAAAAGGAGTTTCGTGGATGTTTCAGTTCTTTCAAACCCTCCTGGCTTCCTCCCAATTAAATGAGGTTTGTCAAAGCCACAGGGCTCTGCTGCTGCCGGAGAGGCGGACAAGCACTTCCCGCAGTGACATCTCCAATCCCCAAGGGAGAAGATGAAAGTGTCAGTGCCAAGAGAGAGAGAGAGTGTGGAAAAAAACAGGTACAGAGACAGACAGTGTGAGAGAAAGGGAGAGAGTGAGAAGAAATAGAAGGAATGAGAAAACAGATTGGCATAATGTGTCAATCTCTCAGACACATTTCCAGAGAGGGGACAGATTCACCTGGGTTTCTACAGCATCCCCTATTTATTATCCCCCATACTGCAGCGAGAAGTACCTTGTGGACAGGCAACTGCACGGCGTTAACATAGCAACCAACGTGTCGGGAGCAAAATCAAAGTGCACAGGGCTGAAACAAGTGCAGGATGGACATGCAAGACCATATTCATGAGTTACTCATTAAGCCTGTAAAAATTAGGCAATTCTGAATAATTCCCCGTGCAGCCACCCCTATTGCCGTAATTGTACAAGACATTTGTTCTCTTGTGTCATGTTGGTGACACGCTAGTTTGGAATTTAACTGTATCATTTTAAAATTCTGGTTGCTATGATAACACAGTGCAGGTTTTTTTAAATATATTCTGTGCCTACTTTGTTCTGGAGGATGCTGGCTATTAGTTCCCATCCTCTGAAGGAGAAAGTTAAAGCAGAAGGGCAAAGAATGAGCTGGAGATGAAAGGTGAAAGGAGGAGGGGGTTGACCCCAAGGTGTGTGAGAGAGTAAGCAGGAAACAACATTGGAAAAAAATAAAAGGTTCCCCTAAGAAATTATTTCCTATTGTTATGAAATAATTGTAGCCACAACTGTCCTTTTTATAAGTTGCTATGACAAGCTGGAAGCCAGAGGATATTTTTCAAAGGTCAATTCCTGGGAAAAAATAATTGGAGAAATCAGAGTTTTAAAAGATAAGAACCCCTTCGAATAGCATCTTGCTGATTACCGAGGGGGATGCGAATGGCCAGACACTGGCTGCTGCCCTGGGAATGGGGGGGAGCAGGGGGCTCTTTGCTTTCTGGTCAGCTCCAGGAGTGGGGAACAGGTTGCTGCTGCTTATGCTCACCTGGGTGCAAAGTGCTAGGAAAAAAGAGTAACGCATGTGGTAAGAGAAGACGACTCTCTGTCCCCTGAGAGCATTTGCTGGCCTTTTTCTGGCCTAAGCCAATGCTGAGACAATTATCTTTGTGCAGTGCAGCCTTGTGCTACAGCAGCTCTGATAAAACTTCAGCCTAACCCTTTGCCACCTGCTAAAGCAGACTGTCTTCTGTCCAATTAATCACTCCTGGAAGATGAGATCCTTGAATGAAGAAAGCATAAGCTGTGCTCTCAACTTCGTGTCAGCCCCGAAGTGCAAAGGGCCTCCTGAGAAGCGATCTCACTCTGCTGTCAGGTCAGACGCAGTACCCATTGCAGCTTATTATTCTTAGCTATGAATTCTGTTTATTTCCATCTCTTTTGGTCTCAAACACTTTAGAACAGGCTCATAGGCAGGGAAGGTGAGCAGTGCAATTTGGGATTAGCACCAGTGTGCTCCCAAGAAAACAGACTGTGAGCAGAGCTTTGGCCATGGGGCTGCAGGGCAACTCAGGCTGGGAACGACTTGCTCCCTTTGGGTCCAGGTGGTCTCCCCTCAGCAATTCAAAACCACTGTGTCAGGTGATACTGTACTGATTCTCCTAAAATTTCCTGTTACTCAGGCCTTCGGAGACGAGGAGAAGGAGGGATTCTGTCTTGATTCTGACAGAACACTGTCATTTTAATGCCTGTTGCATCTAATCATGTTCAAAGCAAGTGTAGACAACGGGGAGGTTAAGGCTGTGAGCCATCACCTACCAAAAATCCCATTTCCATTGGGATCAGCCAGCTCTGGTAGATGTTAACACAGGGCATGTATAGAGAAGAGCTGGCTTTCACAGACACCCTGTTTGGGTTGGCTGCTTTCCCTGTGTTCCCCTACATAGCTGAAAGGTTTATACACTCACTTATATTTTTTGGCTTGCGTGCTTTGCCACCTCTGCATACAGAAAATGGACATCCTTCACTGAAAATCAGATACAGACACCTAGAAATTGAAGTTCTCACCAGGTGTATGAATCTGGTTTATAGCGTGTCTGTAAGGGAATAAACCAAAGCTGGTGTTGAGTAGCAACTCAGCTGTCACTCCTGAACCAGAAGCAGTCATTGCTGTGAACTGCTGAAGCCAATCTTTACTTAACTCAGGCAAAACATCCCTCACTTCTCCTGGCCCGATCTCCACAGTGGTGGAAGATTTGCTTATGAAAATACCAAGAGGACACTGAGGTTTTGTATTATGACATGAAGCCACGGTCCTCGGAAAGAGCCATTGCAACATCACAGCAGATGTTTCCAGGAAGCAGCACACCAAGGGCACGGGCCCCTGGAGACGTCCTGCTTAAGCTCCTTGCTGGGCATCGGTCTGGAGCAGCCACAGTGCTTGCAGATTGCAGGCCCTGCTCAGGAGCACAGGGCGACGAAGAAGACAGGACAAGAAGGAAGGTTTCCTTTGCTCGTGCTCTTGCAAAAGCACAAAGTGGCACAAAGTTTGGCCCACATGACATGTGGAAACAAAGTCCTACAGACACGGATCAAATGCTCTGACTCCCATTGATCTCAGGCCAGAGAATCTCTATAAAGGTCCTATTGTTTAGGGAGATGAACTGCTCTGGGAGGGAGCGCTGCCAATACCCTTCATAGAGGCAGACGCTATTGCATCAGAAGTTGGCAGACATTTTTCTGTATTTTGTCTAATTGCAAAGTTATATCTGAGATTTCTTTAACTTCCACTTTCCTTTCAACATTCCTAAACATGAATCTGAGAAGATTTAGTTGTCTTCTTTGCTGTGAAAGACATCCGGACTGAAACTCCCATGTACTCATTTCCCATCTTCAGGTGCACTTCTGCCTTCACCCAGTTATCAGCAGAAAAGAGCAAATGGGGATGCAGTGATCAGATTTCTAAGGCACAAAAGTTAAAGCTAAGTTTGAGATTATGACAGCAAGCAGCCATGAGCCTAGGAACTCAATTAGCCTGAAAGACAACTATCTCATTATCTTTCCTAAAATGATATAAATACATAAGAATATAAAAATTTAAAATAAACTCTCTCTCTATTGACTGTCTAGATGACTGAATTTCACTGCTCAATTTCTTTAAACACCCACTTTAGTATTTATTTATTCTAAGCGTGAAGCAGCTACGATAATTAGACTGTCAGATTTGGTAAGTTAATGAGGAGTCACTGGAGTGGAAGGTTTTGCATTTGTGAGATTGCTGAAGGAGAGAAGCTCTGTGCCTTCGCTCTATCTCTTTTTTCTTTTTCTTTTTCTTTTTTCCCCCCTCCGCTGGGTGGGAAGGAGAGAGCTTGGCAGTGCAGAGATCCATTTGAATCCTTTTGATTAGCGGGTTGCATTCCCACCACTGTTCTACCAAATAATCTTTTGCTGGTTGCTCCAAGAAAAAGAAAAAAAGAAAAGAAATCATAGATGAGATTTCTAGAGAACGGAGCCTAGATTAAAGAAATCATTTTCCAAAAAAAAAATCAGGAGGAATGGAGCTGTGAGAAATAGGATCCTGAATGAGTTCATATTGTGGGCAATGTCACAGAAGAGTATTAGCACAGTGAAGGAAAAGGACCTTTCTGCAGCTTCTTCTTTAACCTGATTTTGTTGTTGTCGTTGTTGTTTGCTTGTTTATTTTTCTACAGGACAATCAGTGCTCACAGTTCCAGCAGTGAGACTGCAACCTGAAGTCTGTGACCTGTCTGCTCCTTACCAAAAAAAACATCTCTCCGAACGTTCAAGCAAGTTTTGGTAGAAGGCAGAACTGACTGACTACTTCCTGGGTAACCATGTGGTTACCACTGCCAAAGCTGCTGCCATCAGCCAGAGCACATGAATTCCTCTGGGCACTGGAGGTGGGAAAGCAAAACCCATACCCTGAGTTGGATCACCACACCCCGGGCTGAGGACAAAGTGGGAACTTTTCTCACATTCAGAGGGAAGAGATCGGCAAGCCAGTGGCCCCCAGTGCACAGTGTGCAGTAGTATGATGGGAGGTCTGGGTTTGTTTTGTCATATTCCCGAATCTCAGACCAGTGCCCTTTCCTCTGATGCCTCCGCAGTCAAAATATGGTTTCTTTTCCACATTGTTTAAACAGACCAAATTGCTTTTTTTGCCTTTGTCTATGTCTATTGAGTTCACATTTTATAGCTTACTTGTTTTGATTTAACACACAATGGAATTTGCTCAATGAAGTACCAGAAATGACAAAGAGCTCTACCCAGGGGGCAGAACAGCAATGTTGCAATGGATGTTATGACAGTATGTACATTCCTCCACTGCAATGAATAAAGCCATAGCTTTACCTTTCTCGGGTTCATCCTGTCTCACAAAACCCTGCCATGGTGACCCACTGATCTGCAAACTGGAGTTTCTCATTGAAGTCTGTTTTTTTTTTTTTTTTTTTTTAAACTTAGGACTCCAAACGGTGTTGTTGCTAGAAGCAGACGCTGGGCATTTTCTAACATAATTCAGTTACCCTGCCATAGGTCGTACTTTGATTTCATCTGTGTCACTGTGTCAGCGTAACACTGGACCAACATCACAAAATGGAGTTTAGATCAGCCAGATTTTATGATAAAATGTGCTTCCTATGCACGTGCCAGAGCTAGGCAAAATCTCTAGTTTGTAACATCCCTGGTTTTAATTGAGCTGTAATTTAGTATGAGACACTTCAAAATGATGCTTCAGCATCATCGTTTTTCATTTCTTTTTTGTTACAGAAAACCTCTATTACCAAAAGATCACTTAAAGTCACTGTTAATGAAGGAAGTTACAGGAACATAACCTTTTAATATATCCTGTGTCTTTGTTTACTTTGTGCAATTGTTGCAGCATGTGTCCAGTCAGCGTTGCTGGCTGGGTCTGTGCTTGCAGGGCAGACCTGGCAGCTGATCTTATGGCCAAATTAGCTTGACTTACTGCCTGCAACCTAGCTGCGATAGCAGGACAAACCTCAGCCACCCCTCTGTGCCTTCAAACGCACATAGACTGAGTTTACTGCTATAAGATCAGGTCCCAGCACTCACTGCTCAGTCTCGCAGCCTCACTCTCTTCCATCTGGCCTCATCACATGGACAACAGCAGGCAGACAGGACAGCCTTGAGTCTTTTCGAGAAGGACCTGATGTTGCCAGCCCTACAGCCAGATTGGATTTTGGAATCAGCCTGAATTCATTCCCTGCTCACCTGCTTGGCTAAGGGCAGACACGGTGGCTGTTCACTCTGTGATCAGGGAGGAACTAATCCTGCCAAAAAATGGTTGTCATTTCCATTAAGGCTTCTGGGACGGCTCACTTGAGGAGGGCACTCATGCTTCAGTGTTTACTGAACTTGGTTTTGGCCAGTTTTACCTTATTTTGAGACTATTTCACAAATATATAATTTAAAATAGTGAAACCATGAAGAAAGTAGGAGATCCTCCTGTTTTCTTCTGTGTTTTGTTTTTTTTTTTTTTTTGTCTTTTTTTCTTTAATATTAACCTGGCTTCAAAGTGATTGTGTTCCTTTGTGTTCCTTTTTTAGGCTGCTTGCAGAACATACTAAAAAAGCTCAAATGTCAACCCAAGTATTCTTCTGCAGTTAATTACAGGAAAACATTCTATAAGTGATGTTTTCAGATTATTAAACTTTTTTTTTTAAGGCATCTGGATTCAGACATGCAGGCAAGGTTAAAATGAAATGGTAATTTTTTTGTCATTTTAATAGGCTACCAATGGAAAGCAGGGGGTTCTGTGTGCTTTTTCAAATCTAATCAGAAGTAGATAGGCATCTAAAGCACAACAGCCTCACGCTGCTACATGAGAGAATGGAATTTCCTGGGAACATAATAAAACTGGCCAGCCTTCTTTCAGTGGCCAACCTGAGTTAGGTTACAAAAACAGACAAAACCAAATAACTAAACATACCAGGCTCAATCATGAATCCATGGACCCCGAGACACACAGTAAGAGACAAAACACCATCACAGTCTCTTCCTTGTTCTCCTTCTCGTTTCAGGAAGGGACCAGATAGTGCCAGGCCTCTATTCCAGAGTGATATATGCTCCGTGCCCATACACCATCTATTTTCTACTCTGTTCCACCTCCTTCCCTCTATCTGCTGAGCAGAAACGTATGGATCATTGGAGTATGCTTACTTTGCATGAAAATGCAAAGAGAAAGCAAAGTAACTGAAGTCACTAGTCCTGAGAATATTTGGCATTAGGATTTATTTGTCCTTTTGATTCAGGACTAAGGCCATGTATTTTTATTCTAACAGAATTCCTTTGCAACAGGGGCAGATTCTGCCCTCCATTACAAGGACATTTGAAATAACTCTTGATATTGATGAAATGAAACAAAATCTTTGTGCATATAAAATGAGGTCAGAGTATGGTCCAGGGTGACTTATTTTTTAAATTCACCTTTCAGTAGAAGAAAAGTGTGCAGATGTCCTGCCTTTTGTTTTTCAGAAAGTAGTGTCAGAAAGATTGACTTGGCAACGAAGATGTAACAGCAGAGTCTGGACGCTGGACTTGCAAAATAAATGCAGCCATGTGTCACTTAATAGAGAGATCCCTGGACCAGCAGATCGATGTACAAACAGGACAGATGGGGACTGACAATTGAAAGAATGTAGAGGCTGATCCAAGGCTTACAGAGACCTGTCATTCCTGGGGTTTGCCTACAATCTCCTTCAACAAAAGAGCTCCTGAGGGAAGGAGGGGATTAGTCAAAAGTTGAGTGAAGTCTCCAGGGAAGATGGCTTCTTGGATAAAGTTGTCAACAAAAGGAATTGTTTAAGACTATTTGTTATAATTTCCTAGAGGGAGCTTCTGCCATCACTAACAGGATTACCAGCATACTGGTTCCACACCAGCAGAGCATTAGACATATGCATTGCAGACTGGTTGCTCAGAGCTGAATTCAGGGGTCTTCTTATACTGGGTCCCAAATACGTGCAGGTGCTGATGAGCAGAGGGGAGATGGCAAAGCACTAAGATGAAGCCAAATACAGGTCATTTCTGGTCCAGCTGTTGCAGAGAGCCCTAGCTCATTAATGAGTTACCAGGGTGTTTTAATCTCCTTGATCTCATGGCTGCTGACAGACTACAAGAAGTAGTCTAACTAAACTAATCTGAGGTGAGTGCTAATCAAGATACATGGGGAAATGACCAGGAGCTCCTTCCCAGCTACAGTTACTGTGAAATTTCTCATAGATTTTTTTACTGGAAAAATCAGAAAAACAACTTACTGCATTCATGTACTAGGCTGCTTGGTCTCAGTTATCTGGGATACTTTTTCTCACTTTTGGGACATCAGAAGCCAGAAGCCTCAGTGTAACCTCAGATTCAGCGTAACCAGCAGATCTGGAAGGAAAAAGGAAGACAGAGCTAAATAATTAAGGTGTAGGCATGCAAACTTTCTTGAAAACTTCTTATTCATCTGAGTAGTGTCACTGGCATGACCAGGGGAACTTCTGTGAGTAAGAATTATGCAGAGCATTGAGGTATTGAAACAAAACCTGTCATAGAGCTAAGACAAAACACCAGAGAAATGAGTGGCAGCCATAGAAAGAGCAGGAAGAAGGCATTTTGTGCTAAGGAAGCTGCATTTCTAGCCCTACCCCAGTCCATTGAGTGCTAACCAATCACTGCAGACCTGGGCAGGAAGCAGCACAGATGTTTACGTTCCCCTTTGCCCTTTCTAAATCCATAATTACAGAGAAAAAGGCATACAGGCTAGCTGCAGGCACTGCTCAGTTAAGAGCACAAGAATTATTCCTTATGTTATTGTCAGAGTCCTTAATGATCTCTGCCTTGATAAAAAAGCCAGCTATGTTCCAAAAACATTTCTACTTCTAGATTGTATGGGCCCAGATCTCCTAAATACCAGGCACTTTCAAAGTGAGTGCGGATGCCTGACTTCACTTTGCAACGCTAAAATGAATTTTGTCTCAGTATCAGGACCTTACACATTTCATTTGTTTTGCAATGAATCTGGAATTACTATGACCTCACAGCAGTATAAGCAAGATCCAACTAGGGCCTATAGAATTCTGCCTGGGCACGTATCTTTGTGTCAGCCTCCTATGTACAGGTTCATTTGTGAAGAGAAGGGTAGTTGGAACCCCTTTTTGAAGAAAAACAATAGCTCTTATGCACATTGGCACTGGCTGTTGCATTGCAAAAGCTTCTAAAAACTGCTACAAAAAGATGCCTTTCAAAAGTGGATTGCAGGCAGTGTTTTAAGAGATAGCTCCCCACTTCTGAGTTACGCTGAGTCATAACACTTCCCAGGTTCGGACGGGGGTCTGGCATGCCTTTTGGTCTCTTGGAGATGGCAGTGAAGAGCAGTGAAGATGCAAGATCTCTAATGCCTGCCATGTTTCTGGTTGGATGTCTGGTCCTAATTGGGAGACACTAAATGCTCAACATATGTTAAATGAAAGGATTTGTTATGCATGGACAGCAAAGAATCTAATGGTGGGAACTGAAGCACTTTCCTCATGGTGTTTATCAGAACATCAGTGGTAAATTTCTTCTGCCCTGGAGCAGCAGAGAGAATGGTTTTGCTGTTTTTGCATAGCTGCTACCCCATAATGGTCAAAGCTCTTATGCTCAGTTGCCAAAGGGCCAAATGATACCTGCTACATCTGTATCTCCAGGGTGGGAAAGCCAGCAAGACCCTGGCAGAAGGATGGGCTGCAACCCAGCACTCTTCCTCTGTTCATTAACCCAACATCAGAGGCCCAGTGCCCTAAATATGTCAGACCAGCGAGAGAAATTGCCCTGGAACCACTCCTCTCCCACACTAATGGACTACTGTTTACATCAGGAGCACTCATCTCAGCAGATTTTCCATCCCCTGGGCTCCCCAATCTCAGGCACAACAGCTCTCAGGGAAAATGGATGTGGTGTTGTAATGAGTCAGGAAGAGTGAACAAGACACATATCTGAATCTATGTACCTAGTTCGTGCCACCCAAAAAGGGGGCCTTGATTCCCCATTTCTCTCTCTGCTTATAGCATCACAGTCTTTCTCTCTTTTGTTCTCTGGCACTTTTCTAATCCCTTGATGAGCTGATATAATTTACTAAACAGGTGGAAGACGATTCGCTCTTTTGCTGGCTCAGTTTTTCATTGCTTTAGTGAGCTGTATCAGATTATGAAGGGGTCAAACAAGTACCACACTTCATGCATGAATGAGTGTGGAGTGGGAAAGGAGGAGCAGGGAAAGACCATGAAGTTCATACTCCTATCTCCAACCTACCCACGTCCAGTTCTTGAGGGTTGTCAACCCTTGTCACATCTGGAAGTTTGGTGTTCTGTTT